CGGCCTCTTCAGCCTGCCTGTGCCCTCGCTGCTCGGCTCCGTCGCCAGCCGCCTGTCGTCCGCCCCGTTGACAATGGCCGGCTCGCTGGCCGGGAATTTGCAAGAACTCTCGGCCCGGTACCTGAGCTCTTCGGCCTTCGAGCCTTACTCCCGGACCAACAGTAAAGAAGGGGCCGAGAAAAAGGCGCTGGACTGATTGCAAGTGGCTCGGTGTATTTATATTTATAGTATCTATTGTGGTGATATTTATGGACTCGCGTGCCGGGCGCTCCGGGCTCCTGTGCGGCTCCACGAGGCCTCCGACAAAGTTGTTCTCCTCTCCCACCAGCTTGGCCACGGTCTCGTCCCACTTGGGCGCATTTTTTCTACTTTTCTCCAGTACATCTTGCGACACTCCCCTCCTTCAAATCCTTCCTTTTGAATCCAGGAGAGATCCAAAGAATTGGGCAGGATTCCCGAGTTAGCCACCCCAATGCCCCAACCAGTGCCGGGTCCTGGAGGGCGACGACAGGCCCACCTGCTCTCCGGCTGCCGCCGCCGCTGCTGATTATTCCTGTATTATTTGAAAAAAAGGGAAGCTGCACACAGACCCCCAAGGGGTTGAAAAGGCTTGTGGGTTTCCATAGACCAAAAAACACAAAGACACTGCTCTGGCCAGGGCTTTGGGGAGCCCCTGGGCCCCACTTTCCGGGCCTCTCTGGAGAACCGGTGCGCGAACAGCTGCCTCATGGAACAAGTCCGGAGTCTTCTCCTTTCCCAGATCTTCCCGCCCCAGGAAACAATAAGCCTGATTGTGGGAGATGAGGTGGGATCATCAGCAATAAACTCAGAGGAAGAACTCTGCCAAAAACCCGCGGAAATGAGCGGGTTTGGATACTCATCAGGGGTTTTGAGAGCTGGTAAGAAAATTCAGAAAGACTCCACCGGAAATGTGAAGTCCTGGATATTGTGACTTGACAGGAATTTAAAGGGGAAAAGCAAAGAAAGCGCCAACACAAGATCCAGAATCCTTTATCCGACGCTGCTCAGGGCGAGTAGCCCGCAGTGCCAGGCTCTGCCTGGGAGAGGCCTCGGCTCCCGGCTCCGGGCTCCCGCTCTCCTCCTGTTGGAAGCTGCTGCGTCTGGAGTCTCAACCCACAGCCTGCGCTCCCTTGTTCCCGAGTCACAACGTCCAGCCAGCGTCGAAGTGCAGGGACTTGGGGCACCACTTTGGGGATGGGGGGCACGCCTATGCTGGGGAACCCCAGGCCGTCCTGCTTCCTCCGTCCACAGCCTCTGGGTCCCTTGACGACGTTAACATCCAAATCCCAATGTTGTTGCCATGCTGCCCCGGTCAGGAGCCTGGACAGAGACGCCCGTGCGGCCTTGCCCCTTTGCCAGCGGTGCGGCCTTGCCCCTTTGCCAGCAGCTGCCCACGGCCGGCGTTTTAACCAAAATCCCAGACCAAGATGGCGAGAAGCCGCGGTTCTAGAATGTATTGCTCCATCCCAAACGAGCGCAGAGCATTTAAAAAAAAGAATAGTAATTTTATTGTAAATTATTTACGTCGGATTTTTTCTTTATTATTATTAATTTTTTTAGGCGAATAGTAAAATAATGAACGATTCCAATGCGGGTAGGTGTTGCTGAGACCTGGCTACTAACTTTGTTTTGAATGTTTTGGCTATTTGGATGTTTTGTATTTATGTGGTGAGAGTGAAATATATCTATATCCATGATGATATATGAGGCGTATTTTTGTCTTCTATTTATAGGAGAAGATAGCAAAAAACAAAAACGGAGAAGCGAAAGAAGGCAAATGGTACAAACCAGATGAGGCCTGCATGGGCAGCGCTGAGCATAAGGGTATCTGTGCCAGTGAGGGCAGTTCTGTTAGGCCACTGCCTTGTGTGTCCATGGCCCTCGGCCTTGTGGGGTGTGTCTCTCTGGGACACCCCCTCACCTGCCCACTTCTTGTTTGGTTTATTTGGGAGCCTGTCTCTGAACACCCCAAACTTTGTCTTAACACTCCCATTCTCCAGCAGTTTCCAGGCACAACTGCTGGTCTGGTTTTGAATTTGGGAAGCACCAGGCCTGGCCAGGATCAGACAAGTTTTCCCCTGAGAAAAGACAATTGGACATTAACTCCTGACAAGAGACCTAACCCTAGGCCCCTGCAGACGTGTACATGCTGCAGAGGGATATCTGGGGACTCCAAGCCCACTGCAGACAGTTTACCGAAAGCTTAGGGATAAGAGACCATAGCCTGGAGCTCAGTGGAGCACAGTCCACAAGCCAGCCCAAGCCCCTCATTGTAGTGCCCGCAGCCATAGGGCTCATGTGGCCAAGGCTTCCTAGTGTGGACTGTGCCTGAACGTCCAGGTAGAGCCATTGGAATCAGGCGGGCAGGCACAGTATAGGCGGCAGAGTTCTCCGGGCACTTGGGGTTTGAGGTCTGGAGAAGAGCCGCTTTGGTCCCCAGGCGGTTCACTTTTGTTTCCGGAGTCGCCCCTCGCCCCTCAGTTTCAGTCCCTCAGAGGTGCCCTCCTTCAGCTAGCTCCTCCCAGCCCACAGCTCGGACTCTCTGGTCCCTTTCCCTCTTCCACTCTTCCTGCTTCACTCTGACTACCGCTCACAGGTGGGCTGTTACCTCTCCCCACACCAGGTCCCTCTCACATTGCTGCTTCTCCTCCTCCACCCCCCAGCCCAGCCCTCGGCTTCTCTCTCTCCTCCCACTGTCTCTAGCACCCTTAGCCATTCCTTCTTCTGCATAGGTGGCCTCAAGGTGGTGGGTGGCGCTGACTGAGGTTTCTCAGCAGAGGGCTGGGGCCAAGAAGGGCAAAAGGGAGGGAGAAGGTAGTAATTTTATGGAACAAAAGAAAACACAAAATCCCCAAGGGATTTTGTCAGAGTCCCCAAGGGACCTCAGCACCTTCACCACCAAGTCCACCCCTCAGCCCTGCTTTGATTTCTTCTCTGCTTTTCTCTCTGAGAGGGGACACACTAGCCTTCCTGGCTTTGGGAAGAGCCACTGAGCCCTTCACCTGCCACTCAGGGAGCGTGATTGTCCTTAAAGAGCCTCTTCTGCAGAGAAAAAGAATCACAATTTTAATTAAAAAACATTTATAGACAATTCATTTCATTTTAGCGCCTGTCTTTGTTTCTGTCCTTCCTAAGGGCCTCCAGCAAGCTGATTTGATGGCAGCCTCTCTGGTGAGGCCTCTGGTGGGACCTCCAAAGCGTCACTCTCAGGCCAGGGAGGAGGCAGATGGCCCTGGGTCCAATAGAGCCCTGCCTGGAGAAGGTGGGGGTGCTCCTGAGGGTCAGGGAGAACAGCTGGGGGTGATGGTGAAAGGACTCGCATTCTCAGGACTACACAAAGCAACGGTCAAGTTGGCTCAGAACCGGAGAGAAAGATAAAAACCTCTTGCCAAGCATTTATGAGTTTCAGAGACAGGTGGGTAGGTGTGGGGAAGAAGGAGGAAGTCCTTGGAAGCTGGACCCACCGTGTCCTCAGTCACACTTGGCCATCAGCCTAACCTTGAGCCAGGCTCTGTTCACAGTAACCTGACCTGTCACATAGCTTACCAACACAATTTCACGACACATCTCTGTGACTTTACACAGCTGTGTGGGATGTACAATTCTTTCTTTAAAAGGAAAGATCCGCACAAAAGCTTGGAGGGGTCAGATGATTTGCTCAAGGGCGTCTGCTGCTAATCACAACTCCAGCTCCTGCGAGGCACCAGGGAGGTCAGCAGAGACCTGCGAGGCCCAGTGAGCCTTTCCCACTCCCCTGCCTCCCTCCCTTCCCTTCTATTTTCTCTCCCACCTTCCCTTCCTTTAGTCCTCCCTTTTCCGTGCTTCTGTGTCCACAGTGTCTGTTCATAGCATCTTAAACTCTTCAGCATGTTGGCCACACAGGAGTCCACTCCCATTTCCAACTGTCTTTCCACAGCATTAGGGGTTGGGTGGTGCTGAACCAAACTAGCAGATCAGCAGTTGGAAGCTCCCACCAGCTCCGCCAGAGCAGTCTACTTCCATAGAGATTCATGGCCTTAGACACCCCGTGGGCTTCTCTGTCCTTGGGGTTCCTGTGAATTAGAATCGACTCCACGGCAATCATTTGGTTTTTCTGGTTCCCACTAGACTAGCTGATGAAGATGTACCTTCAGCAGATGGAAAGGCCTTCATTTCTTCCTCCTCCTCTTCTCTTCTGCGGGTACTCCAACTCCTTTCCTCAAAAATGACATAGTTAAACCTCCTCCCCTCTTTGGTCTTTGTTTTACTTTGCACACAGCCTTACCCATTGCCCTGTTTGATCTTGTACTTCCGGAAAGCTTTTTTTCCCCCTTTAAAAAAAACCCAAACACAGCGTTGATATGTAACATCTGTAGGATATGTATTCATAGAGTTTGTGGATGTGGATGTGGTTGTTAGGTACCAGTGAGTTTAAACCAACCCATAGCTGACTCTCTAGCAGGTTTTCAGACAGTTAATCTAATCACAAGGGAGGAGATTGTCCATCTCTCTATAGGAGAAGCTGGTGGATTCAAACAACATTCCTTTGGATTTGGCAGCACAGCTTCTTCCCCCCTGGGGTTTCTAGAGCATATACACATATGGCACTGAGGGTCGCTATCCATTGCAGGTGACTCAATGGCACGTAATAACAATAACATCCTATGACAGGTTTGGAAGCAGGAGTGGCATCCACTTCCTAAACAACCTGCCTCCAGAAAACTATGACCTTTGATAAATGTCGATAGTTGTAGAGGGGCTTCAGGTCTTTTGTTCATGAGGTCTCTTTGAGTCACGATCAACTTGAAGGCAATCAACAATATGACAATAAATTCCCTTTCTGGGTGTGTCTCTCTCTCCCTTTCCCATTCCCTCCCTTCTCTTCCTCCCTCCATCCCTCACATCTCCCTCTTCCCTCCCTTTCATCCTTATCCCTCTTTCCTTCTTTACCTTCCCCAGCCCCCCCTTCAAGTCTGAGTGGGATTCTCTCAACTTCTTCCCTGAGGCCACTCTTGATTTCAGAGAAACTGTCCATATTGGGGGTTGTTGCACGAAAAGCTTTTCCAGGAAGTCTTCTGTTTTCGAAACAGAAATTATGTAGCTCTTCCATAGTCCTCAAGTCCTGAGTTTAGGGGACCGAGGACAAACAGTTTGGTCAGAACTTAAAACCCACCAGGTCACAATGTCTGAAGGTAG